AAGAAGAAGTTCAAGCCAAGGTACATGGATTTAGAAATGTACATGAATACACCTACCACATTTCCTGCACTTATTTATTTCATTAATTTATTGTTTATTCATTTATACTTAAAGTTAGTTTTATTAACATAAATTTTACATGTAAAAGAAATAAGGATTAATGCACCATAGTTGTTGTCCCCTTGGTTAATTCCTAACTAGCATTACACGAATTTCTCAAGGATGCATGTATGAAGGTATGGGAAGAACAACTTTTTATGTACTAAGTTTTCTGCCAATGCAATGCAAACATTTTATACTAATTTCCTTTTCATTTTTGCTTATGTTGCCAATTAAGGTAACTAATGCCCAATGCCTATCATAAGAAAGTTGATCTTTCCTACTATTCCAGCAATTTTTTATAAAAACCATTTTCTTCCCAATGTCTTCAACAAGATAACCGGCTAGTTATGAAGCCGAATGATTTTATCCCAAATTCAATCTTGTTATATATTTCATTAGGATGCAACAAAGCTTCACCGGATTTAAACTAAAGAGAAAATGGAGTCTAGATATTTTCTATTTGATCTTGACAATATAACCATGACACGTGAATAATATGGGTGTATCTTCTTCCTTGCTTCGGGAGATTAGCGATCCTTATGGGAGCTTGAGGATAGATGATTCTCATGATATCTTTAGAATAAAGACGTGGACGAAGTCATTGAAGGTGGCAAAGGTGAAGAGTACGGAAGAAACTGCAGGAAACCTTTTGAGCTTCTAGCGGTCGATCGCACGTGACGCCGCGGTCGATCGCGAACATGCACAAATCCTGGGAGGCCTCTGGACTTTTGGCGGTCGACCATAGCGACGTGTGCGGTCGACCGGCCAAATCCTGTAATAGGTTTTGGTTTCTATCGTGGGATCCGGTCGACCGCGATGGTCTCTGTGGTCAACCGCGACGGTTTCGTGAGCCTTCCTGGTTCGTTTGGGACTCTGTTTTCCTGTTTGATTTTGGTTTGTTTAATTACAAATTTACCATCCACGTTGTAAACTCTATAAAGAGGATTGTTTAGGGTTCTAAACAATCAGAGAAATTAGAGAGGTGAGATCCTAACCAAGAGATTAGGGTTTAGTGAGAATTGGGAGATTGTTCTTGATTCTAGAGAGATTGGGGAGTGAGAGATTTGTAATCTATTATTCTCATAATCTAGAGAATATATTTTTCTTTGCCAAAACTGAATTGTTCTTGTGTTTTCTATCGTCTTCTTCTCAAACCACTCTTGATAATTTTACTATCAAGGGTGTCCGCTCGACGACTCGTATCAAGTTGGTATCAGAGCGATTAGATCCTGTGAAGGGAGAATCCTGTGTATGGTCCTTACTCAATCGCAATACAAAAAACTAGGCGAGATCCTTATTTCTTTGGAAGGAGTTTAGAGATTAAGAAAAAAGAAGATGACTGAAGAGGATAATTCGGCGAGACTTGATGCATTAGAGAAACAGATGGAGACAATGGATTCGACTCTCATACAGCTCGTCAATCTTTTTTAAGAAAAGGATAAACAGGAGGAATCTTCTTCGAACGACAAGAAGAGACTTGTAGAGTCCGATAGGGAAGGCGAGGAATCTGATTCTAAAGAGGAGGCCAAAATTGTCAAGACTGTTCCGCATCAAGGAGGTAAGGGTTCTTACTAGAATTTGAAAATATACTTCAAGGTGGTGATTCCTATTTATGATGGGAGTATCAACGTCGAGAGGCTCGATAATTGGATCAAGCGGATAGAGACATATTTTACCCTCTACTGATATTTATCTAAGGAGAAACTCGTGTTCACGACTTAAAGCTTCCGAGGCATGCATTGACATGGTGGAAATCCTATTACAAACAGGAAAGGAAGACGGTGTCGTAAAACAAATTCAAGGAGCTACTGAGGAAGCAGTTCTACCCGGTGGGGTTCCTTAAGCAGCATTGGTACAAGTGGTACGGCTTGCACCAAAGAGTTAATCAAATCATTCAAGAATACACCACGGAGTTCCAGCAGTAGGCGATGGTCCTCAATATTACAACGGAGGAATATTCTGTGTGTATGAGGTATATGGCGGGTTTGAGCGAGTACATCCGGAAGGAAATGAAGCTATTCACGGTGGAATCTATTGCATAGGTGAGCGTGAAGGCTATTGTCATCGAAGGCAAGCAGAAGAGGAGCAACGAATCCAAAGGAGAGGCTAAACAAACTAGAGGCGAGTCTAATGGTTCTCAATCTAAGGAGAAGAAGAAGAAGGGTGAACCAGGGAAAAAAGGGCTAATTTGTAGTCATTGCGAGAAAACAAGACACATAGCTGATCGGTGCTGGGAGAAGTATCATCATCTCAAACCAAGGGGGTTGAAGAAGAAGGAGGAGAAAAAGGCATACGTGATAGTTCAAGTTCCGAAAGAAGTCCCGGGGATGACAGAACCCACCAATAGTCTCAATCTTATAATGGGGAAACTTATCACGAAAGAGGATGATGACCCTAGAGAGCAGCTCTTTGTTCTTAAGTTGCAGGTAAAGACTAGTTTGGTTGGTGCCATAGTTAATCCAAGCAGCAAGAAGAATTTGATATCTGAGGCCTTAGTTCAGAAGCTGGGTCTGAAGATAGTTAAGCATCCAAAGCCCTATTCATTGGGGTGGATTCAGAAGGAGACGGGACTGAGTGTAGTTGATCAATGCACTTTTAGATTTGCACTCCATGAGCCGCATATTAACGAGGTCATGTGTGACGTAGTTCCATTAGATGTTTGTCAGGTTATACTAGGCCATTCGTATTTGTGGGATAGATACGCAATCTACGAGAGGCGGGCTTAGAAGTACACATTCACCAAAGATGGTGAAAAGTTTATATTTCGTTCGACATCTCTTCTGGAGGAGACAAACTTAGTGACGGTGAACCGAGTGAAGAGGTTAGTGAATGCAAGCAAGAAGTTTGTTGCGCTATGTATTAGTTCTTATGAGGAGCCACTGAAAAAGGGTTGCAATTTGGAGCGGAAGGTGACTACGACGAGACACATGACGAAGGAGTTATTTCCGATCGGACTTCGAGACCAGATTCCTAGCAAGGTCAAGTGGTTCAGAAAAGAAGGAGGGGCATGCTAGTTCCCTCAGCTATAGTTCTAACTTGAACGAGACTTCAAGTTCTTAAAGAGGGGAGTCATGATCCGGGTGTGTCTTCTTCCTTGCTTCGGGAGCTTAGCGATTCTCATGGGAGCCTTAGGATAGATGATTCTCATGATATCTTGAGAATAGAGACGTGGACGAAGTCGTTGAAGGTGGCAAAGGCGAAGAGTACGGAAGAAACTGTAGGAAACATTTTGAGCTTCCAGCAGTCGACTGCATGTGACGCTGCAGTCGACCGCGAATATGCACAAATCCTGGGAGGCCTCTGGACTTTTGGCGGTCGACCGTAGCGACGTGTGCGGTCGACCGGCCAAATCCTGTAATAGGTTTTGGTTTCTATCGTGGGATCCGGTCGACCGCGATGGTCTCTACGGTCGACCGTGATGGTTTCCTAAGCCTTCCTGGTTCGTTTGGGACTCTGTTTTCCTGTTTGATTTTGGTTTATTTAATTACAAGTTTGTCATCCACGTTGTAAACTCTATAAAGATGATTGTTTTAGGGTTCTAAACAATCAGAGAAATCAGAGAGGTGAGATCCTAACCAAGAGATTAGGGTTTAGAGAGAATTGGGAGATTGTTCTTGATTCTAGAGAGATTGTGAGAGAGAGATTTGTAATCTACTATTCTCATAATCTAGAGAATGTATTTTACTTGGCCAAAATTGAATTGTTCTTGTGTTTTCTATCGTCTTCTTCTCAAACCACTCTTGATAATTTCGAGATCAAGAGTGCTCGCTTGGCGACTTGTATCAGTGAAACACTAATCTAAAGAAGTAAAAGTTAAGAAAATAGTTATCATCAATTTCACAAGAATTGTAAATTCTACTGGGCAATTGAGAGCTAGGCATATCAACAAACACACTTGGTGGGTATACAAAACACACAAGTGAAAGTAATAAGCATAACGAATCCGATGTAGTTTGAAGAATTAAAAGACACTCATTTGTAGGAAAAAGAACGGACCTTGAGGATGATTTTTGCGCAGTCTGCAATGAGAGTGAAATTAATTAGAAATGGAAATAGAAATAGGATGATGAAGAGGGACTCGGGGTCAGTACTAGTCTCCTAGTCGAGGCTGCAGACGTCGAGTTTGCAGTCAGCGGGGTCCTTGTCGGAGCGAAGACGATGACGAGCTTTCTTATTTTGGCCGTAGGGGGTGACGAATGAGCGAAGACAATCAAGGAGCGTCGACGAAGATGGATCAAAGCTGTAGGGGTCTACGACAGATAGCTTGCGGTGTCGGCGGTCAGGATCCTCGTTGGTGGTGGTGGAGGAGTGGGATCTTGAGAAGAAGAAGGTGATAAGAAAAAGTAGTTGCAAAGATTGTGGTTTTTTTATTTTAAATGGTAAGGGTAATTTTAAAATAGCTTTATTGGATAGTGGGTTTCTACAGTATTAGGGGATAGTTGCACTAAAGTTTCAGTTCAAGGGCTGGGGAGCATGAATTTTTTGGCTGGGGAGGAGGACGCATAACATTAGTTTTGGAAGTTCCTCCAAGCAATTTTCCCATATTTCTATCATCAGTGTTCACGTAAACCTTGCTCTCTTTTTTCTCTTTTTTTAAACCCTGCTCTTTACTCAAAGGAAATTTTGTTTGGTCAAAAAAGTTTTTTCGAAAACAAGGTCAATTCCACTCGAAAAATCTTTTTTTTTTTTTAAGGAAGGAAGAAATAAAGAGGCCAGGTCAAGATTGGGGGGTTAATCACCGTCACTGTCAGGAATCAAGAGTTAAATACTTGCCCAATCAAAACTAAACAAATCATTAATCCAGCTTGCTCTACTCGTTTGTCAACGGTCATCCCCTCACACAGCATTGAACAAGCAAACTTCTCCTCCTCTACATACTAATCAACTCCTTAATCCCTAGGAAAACCTCATCTCCACACAAAAAAATTCCTGAATTAACCTTCAATAGATCTATTTGAATACTTGCAAACATCAAAAAACTACAAAACTCTGTTGGACAAAAAATGTATGTAACGAGGCCACTTTCACACTACTACAACTCCCCGGCCGCCATGGCCGAGCCACCACCAGAGGGGCCCGGCTCCGGCATCCTGGTGATCGAGGACGCAGCGGCGGAGGAGCAGGCCACATGCTGTTGGGGTATGTTGCGGACAACGAGGTTGTTTACTACGCCGTTCCCGCAGAACAAGATGATCAAAGTTAGATATAGTACAGGGGCTGGAGAAAGTCGGAGAACTTACCGTGATAATGTCTACTTTATTCCGGCTGTTGGTCAGCCTCTGTCCTCGAATCGGTATTACGTCGTCAGATCTCGCGGGAGACGTAAAGGGTAAGCGTGTTGGTCGGTAAATGTTTGGTTTCGGTTGTCCTGTTCTAAATATAGCCATGTTAAATTCTATCCTTTTATGATTACTAAAACTATTTGTTTATTGTCGAACGAATTACCTAATCGAATATAACTGAATAGTTAGATGAATGATTAATGACTTATTTGTTAGATATTTTGTTCGTTTCCACCCGGAAGCTAGAAATAAGAAAGAATTTCGAGAATTTAATGTTGGTGTTATGTGTTAAATCAATAAAAATTCACCGTAATTCCTTACTGTATCATTAGACACCGTTTACTGAACAGTGATAAAAGCGCCTCTATTTCATGTTCTTTTTTGGAGGAAATTAGGATCTTAGCATGATATTATTAGAAGAATTGAAGAAGGGGAATATAGTTTATGATCAATGAGTGAAGGATTATGACGTGAATTATAATTTGGTGATTTGATATGAGTCAAAAATTTACAAGTATTGTTGACCATGTGTTTTTATCTTGCTTCTCCTATATTAAGTTTTGGCTAAGATTAGTTTTAATCAAACATTTATGACTTATGACGACATTGGTGCTCTCCCTCCTCATGTGTATGAACTGTTTGACCATTAGTACTTTTAGTCTAGGTTAAGTTAGCTCTTTTAATGAACCTTTTGAATAGGGCATCTCGTGCTGTTTTTAGCTTTAAAAATAATGTGTTATTCGTGTTAAACTCTTTCTAATGAAGATTCTTTGATTCTTCTCTTTCCAAATTAACTATACAATCGCAATAATCGCATAATCACGTTCATTTTTTACTTGATATATTGTGTACCTAAATGGCACTAATAGTATGAAATTCTGGACATACGAATTTTTCATTTTAGAATAATATACTTATATGTATGCTTTACTTGCATCTGCAGGAACACATGCACATGCTCAAATGAGGAAGAAGTCAGAACATTTTGCTTCTGCACACTGGTGAACGACGTTGAGCCAACTCCATTCGACCACAGAAATATTTATCAACAAGTTGAGATTTTGCCTTACGAAGATACTTTTCGTCTTGTCTCCAGGAAAGGCTGCTTTCGTGCAGTATCTATAGCTTCCGACGGGATTCCTCCCAAATTTCTGAGGAGAAAAGGTTGGGAGGCCTACACTTCAAAGCCATCACATTACACTTTAGGAGAAGCTCTAGGCATCAATACTACTCTCCGCATCCAAATGCCCGATCTCAACTTTCCTATATCGACAAAATACTCTCCTTCTTTGGTTGTTGGCAAATGGTATTGCCCTTATGTTTTTGTGAAGGAACGCGAGGGACTGGAAGATCAAATGAAGAGGTCCATGTTCTACGAAATGACACTCGAACAATTCTGGGAAGAGATTTATAGTACTGAAAATTATAACGGCTATAAAGAAAATGTGGTGGAAGTTGGAGTTAGTGTGAAAAGGGAGACAGCATTATGGAATGGTAGGGAAATTGTAAATGATGATGTTGAGAATGTTAATGGGGTGGTTTGGTTTAAACCCGTCGGGTCTATGAGTAACGAGTTTGGATTGAGCTTACCGATATGGGAGAGGATGAGATGGGAGGAAGCAAGAGGAGGTTGGAATGGTGGTGAGAAGGTGGAGAGGGTTGAGAAGTTGGAGCTTTATGAAGGGGAAAGGGGTTGGAAGAAATTTGGTTGTTATGTGTTAGTAGAGAGGTTTGTTCTTAAAAGAATGGATGGGAGTCTGGCTTTAACTTATGATTTCAAGCACACAAGCAAAATCAGGGTCAAATGGGAGTAACATGTTACATGATTGATTCATTCAGAAAATGTTTAATGCGAGGAGTATGATTGTGTTCATGTAATTATTGTAAACATCTTGTTTATTTATAAGAGGTGTATTTGTTTATTGATGCGTCGTAGCACCTGTGATTTAGCCAGAGCATATGTTATATTTTTTGTCAAGATTACCTCCATTTTAAAGATTTTCCTCGAGCTTTGTTTACCTCTTTTGATATCCTAGATTTTGATTATCACTATAATAGCTTACAACGTGTATCCGGACTTGTAGCATATGTACAACTGTGAAAATTATGATGGTGAAGGCAACAGGGTAAAGATATTGTAGAACTGGAGGCGAAGGCGACGAAGCTCAGGAAAATTGAAGCAGAAAACACTTTGGATGTTTCACGGTCGACCGCGAACGTGCACATAGCCTGGAAAAATCTCTGGACTTTTCACGGTCGACCGTGAGTGGATTCATGGTCGATCGTGATACCCTGTAGTGCATTTTTTGTTCTCTGTCGTTGGCCACGGTCGACCGGGCCTGGCTCGGCGGTCGACCGCGATGCGGTTTTGGGCCTGTGCTTGGTTTCCTGTTCTGTTTGGGTTTCCTGTTTTTATAAATAGGAACACGATTTGTTTAGGGTTTATTGGATCATATTGATCACTTTTGTGGTAGCTTGAAGGAGATTTTGAGCACAGAAAAGAGATTTTTTTCTGAGTAATTTGTTTGAGGATTTAGTTTGTGAGATTTGAGAGATATGTTTGAGAGGTTAGTTGAGTGATCTTGTAATCTCTATTTTGTACTCTCTTTCCTTATAGTAAAAACTCATCCCCTTCTTGCCCCGTGGACGTAGGAAATTTGCCGAACCACGTTAAACTTTTGTGTTTGAGTTTGTGTCATTATTTCGGATTGTTTTTGGCTTTCTATCTTAGTGTTTGAGTTTGTTCCGCCGCGCACAACAAGTGATATCAGAGCTCGGGCTACGCTTGGGCTATTTGGAGGAGTAGATCGTTTTGGAAGTTTGTCTAGGGCTTCATTAGAAGTTAAAGGTGAGATCTTTTTGGTAAAAATTCTATCTTTTCTCAGTTTTGGATCTACTCTTCAGTTTGTTCCATATTGGTTGTTGGTGTGTTGAGGAAGATGACTGGGAAAGAAGGTACTTCGGGTGTTGAGGGTGGTTCTTCTGGCGTGAAGACCATTTAAAATTTGAATATCCACTCTACGAAAATAGATGTAGAGAAGTTTAACAGCACGAACAATTTTGGATTATAGAGATGTGAGGTTTTGGATACGCTGAACGCACAAAATTTGGAGGATATTTTGGAATTGGATGACAAGCCAGATGATATTGAAGAGAATGTTTAGAAGAAGATGAATTGGACAACGTGTGGTGGGATTAGATCTTGTTTGACTCAAGATTTAAAGTATGATGTGATGAATAAGACTTCGGCTAAGAAGATTTGAGAGACCCTTGAGAGCAAGTATATGACCAAGAGTGTGAAAAATCGCTTGCATTTGAAGAGGAAGCTTTATCGCTTCCAATTGAAGAAGGGAACATTCATTGGTGATCACATAAACCACTACACGAAGCTTCTTGCGGATTTGACGAATGTGGATGTTATGATAGAAGATGAGGACAAGGCGTTGTTGTTGTTGAGTTTCTTGGCTGACGAGGAATATAAGACCTCCGTCCTTACTCTTATTAATGGGAATGTATCTCTTTCATATAGTGAGGTCACCACTGCACATGTAAATTATCAACTTCGAAAGAAGGATAAGGAGACTTCAATTGAGACAGTAGCGGAGACGTTGGTCGCAAGAGGGAAGAATCCAAATAGAAAGAATTGGAAGTCATAGTCTAGAGTAGGACATCCTACAGTTAATAAAGATTAGTGTGTTTGGTGTAAAGAGATTGTCTGAAAGCACCCTAATGCCACTAAGAAAGTACCCTAGAGGAGGGTGAATAGGGTTTATGCTAATCTAATCCGATTTATGCTAATTAAAAACTTATTAACAAATATATCCTAGCAAGAATGATATATTACAAATATATGTGCAAGGATATGAAACTAAGGATGATATAAACAAACAAGATAGTGGGAATATAAACAATAAGCAATTGAAAAATGTGATATAAGATGAACACAAAAATAAGTGTGTCAATGCAAACACAAATAAGCGATATGATCACGAAGTTCGGTCCCCACGACCTACGTCTCCGCTCCTCACCTCGAGGAGATCTTCACTATTACAATCGGGTTTTCTGAGCTCACCCGAATAATGTTTACACCACACAATATCAGTTTTCAACGCTCATCGATCAACATTCACAATCTTATAATGTAACTACACAAACTAAAACCACCTCAAGTGTTGGCCTCTCACATCTTTCCCTCAAGTTTTAGGAATTATAACCTACCTCTAGGCATTACCACCTACCCCAGTCCTCTTGGGACCGACCACGTCTCTCACCTCTACATTCCTCTTGGTATATTTGTGCAATACAAAGTGAATCCTCACAATTAAGCTCACTAACAACAAATGATTTGTTCTCTAAACAAGGTGAGAACATAATATAAGCTCACCCTCAATGTCACAAACCCACAACCCCAAATTATACTATGAATATAAATACAATAAGCTCAATGGTTGTGTGTGAACAAAGAGATTTAAATCAAAACTAAACTCAAATAAATTCTAGCTTATGGAAATAAAAATCAAACATATAAATAGCTAGATATGAGTTTAGAAAAACTTCTTTATAGATAACAAGAGAGAGAGGGAGATGAGTTGAATGCCCAAACACAATTAATGATCTCCTCAAGCCCTTGTGAAAGTCTTTTCACAAAACCAAACTTGTAAACACTCTTTTAAACAAACACAAAACACCCTTAAACTTGTTTAAATAATTCTCTTGAGTAAATAAAACTGAGGATATGTGGGGTATTTATAGGAACCCCAAAGCCTAGAGAAAACAAGGCAAAAAGACCAAAAACCCAAAACTGGAACAGGCTGGAAAAAACTAACTGTTACAGCATCAGTCGACTGATGGGTTTCATCAGTCGACTGATGAGCTGACTGTTGTAGACATATTCCAGCTCATCAGTCGACTAACGACCTTATCAGTCGACTAACGACCTCATCAGTCGTCTGGTTAGTCGACTAACAAAAAAACAAAAACTTTTGACTATTCCAGGCGTTTTCTTCAGTCGACTGAACACATGAATCAGTCGACTGATAACACTTTATCAGTCTCTTTTAAATAGTAAAACTGATTTTTAAAGTGCCTTTAAAAATAGCAAATAAATTCAGAAAAATATAAACTTTGGGAAATAATTGTAAACATGAAGATGTACATGTTACAAAAATATGTTTTCAAAAAGCATCTCCGATTTGTAAAATATCATCATTTTGCAAATATGTCCAAAACATGAAAATAAACAACATTTGTTTTTGATATTTTAGCTAAACCATGTTTTGAAACTTTACAAAATGATTTTATAGACTTAATAAAAGATGTATGCAGTGAATGTTAAGTCTATAAATAATAATATATTATTTTCATAAAAATGTATATATAATACAAAACACATTTGTTTTTCCAAAAACGATAGAATATAAAACATGAAAGTGTATATGAATATAACTATTGTTTCATATCTACAAAGCTAAAACAAAACAAAACAATAAATATGAAATATGTAATTTCATATTTATATAAACATGAAAACTAAAACATGTATGTATATATATAACTATATATATACATAGAAAACAAAATGTATGTGTGTGTATATGACATTGAGCTTAAAGTACCAACACACATAACATAAACTCCTAAACTATTTTACCCAAGCTTGTGATCTTCAACGAAGCTCTTCTTGGTAAACTTGCGGATGAAGCTAGAACTTGGATCTTTGCAATGCTTCATACCGATATTCCGCCAACCTCCATTGGATATGATCGTTGAAGCGCTATTCCATCTAACCTCCAACATATTGTTTGTCTATAATAAATATAAAAATACAAATACTAGACAGACAACATTAGTAGTAAATTATTTGTTAAAATATCATCAAAACAAAAAGGCCAACATGGTCATTGGAAGAAAGATTGTCTAAAGCTCAGTGAATGGATGAAGAACAAGCAGAAGGGAAAGGAAAAGTAACCATCATTAAAAGCAAACATCATTATATCGGATGGTAATCTTTCTGACTCGTTTGTTTATTCACTTTCTATCAGTCCCACATGTTTCTATTTGGAGGAATCTGAGTGGATGTGGTATACATGGGTGCCCTAGAAGGGAATGGTTTGCCAGTTTTGAGAAGCTGGAGAGTGGTGTGGTATACATGGGTGACAACCGTGCATGTCAGATCCTTAGGATAGGAAGAATTCGCATCAAGATGTATGACAGGACAGTTAGAGAGTTACATGATATGAGATATGTTCCTTCTTTGAGGACGAACTTGATCTCGATTGGAGCTTTGGTTGGAGAGGGTTTTAGAGTTCGTATCGAGGACATGATTCTTAAGATTGTGGAAGACTCTCGTATTTTAATGAAGGGCGTCAGGAAGAATAACATGTACTATTTAATTGGAAATACGGTGACAGGTGGAGAGCTGACGACTTATATTGATTGGACTAGACTGCGATATTTGAGGTTTGGTCACTCTGTTAGACCCTAGAGGGGGGGGGTGATTAGGGTCTTATACTAATCTAATCCGATTTTATACCAATTAAAACTAATTAACAAATTATTCTTGCAAGAGAGATATACAATATGTTACAAGCAAGAATAAGCAATATGAACAAAGGTAAATATCCTAGCAATGAGATATACTATGAGATATATGCAAGGATATACAAATCAATACAATGGTGAAATAAACATAAACAAGATAGTGGGCAAAGTAAATAATGAGACAATGGCGATATGAGCAATGAGCACAAATAAGAATAAACGCCAAAGCACACACAAACACAATCAAATGATCACGGAGTTCGGACCTTCCGTCCTACGTCTCTGCTCCCCACTCCCGGGGAGAAATCCACTATCACAATCCGGTTTGGAAGCCGAAACTTCTACACACTCGGTTTTTTAGCT